AATGGCTTGTTTCCTCTAGTACTTTCTTCTTCTGTTTTTCCCTGAATCCACTTAGATGCTGAGGGTCGATGGCACCTTCTCCCCAGCTGATGTCTAACCAATAGTCTGAAACGACATGGTCTTCCATTCGAAAACTCACTTTTCTCCTTGTACCTTTTCTTAATGTCCTGTGGCTTTGTTTTTTAATGACTTGTATTTTTAAGGAGTAAAATGGGAAGTTATTTGCCTGGAGTGAGCAAATCTGTCTCCTTTCCTTCTCATTCCTGATAATTAAGTCTGTGAGTTCTAATCTGACTTTGTTTTAGAGTCACAGAGAAGGGATATTATCAGTAAAGGAATTAAATGGATACTGACAGACAGCCATTTGGAATTTGAACTGTACTTATTGAGCACATTTTCCTAAAACATTGCTCTCATCATGTTAATTCTGTCTTCAAATTTCTCTCGTGGCTCCTCTCTGCCTAGTTCAGCCCTTCACAACCTTTTCCCCTCATGGCAGATGTAGGAAACATTCCCGAGCACTGGGGTACCCTGGCAAGGGTGCCTGTGGCAAGAAGAGACTGGGCCCCTCCGGCTGCCCCGAGGGAGCGAGATCCATAGATAGAAAGCTCTAGCATCCTGGGCAAAATAAAAAGTTCTTACTTTGGCTTACAAGATATTCCACCATCTGGCTGCCAAACTATCTGTCTCTTTCATTACCACTTTCCTACATAGCTCTTCTGTTTCAGCTGTTTATTCATTGAATGCAAAATAATCATTGTACCTGAATGTCTTTGTAGCTTTGGTTTATGCCTTTTTATTTGAATGAAAAATCCTTCTCCTCATTCCCCACACTCATCAAAACCCTGGACGTGATCCACGAGCCCAACCCTCAGCTTACCTCCTCCAGAAATCATGATGACCATGTCAGAGAAAGCAATTATTATTCTCAGATCACTCCTGCAGCATATGGCATTTGAGCAAAGTCTTGAGGGTAGGGTAGAAATAGAGAGGTGGCTAAGAGGGAGATGAGAATTGCTTTCAGAGGGAGGGGCCTGATTGAGCAGCATCTGATTATTGCTGTGGTCCAAGAGGCAGTAAATATCAGCCTTGCCTGGAGAGACTGAGTGGGTGTGTCTGCAACACGACAGGAACTATATGTTCCTGGGGAGCAGTTCCAGTGATCTGATATGTAGCCACACTTTGGTGCCACTGTTGGTAATGGACTGGTGAGTAAGCTTTCTCATACTCCTTGTGCTGGCTGCAGTTCTGGTCCTCCTGGCCCACGTACCTCATGCTCCTGGACAAAGCTAGGGATGAGATGCCAGACTGGATTAATCAGTCTCTGGGTTTACACAGGGAGGATAGGGGGAAACTCTTCTTCTGTTTACTCTACAAATACTCTGCTAAAATGACAAGAACCTGGAGCTTCCAGAGGCCCACGTTTCTTGCTGATAGGGAGGAAGTCTGCCTTCAGTAGGACAATAAACAGCAATAGTTGGAGGCAGAGTAGAGTCCCAACAACATTTTTGGAACCTTAGTTTAGACTGCACCCAATGCCATCCCACCCAGGTTTGTCCTCAGTTGTTCGAGTCAATAAATTATCAGCTTGTTGTTGCTGTTTAAGTTCACTTGAGTTAAGCAGTACTCACAAGTGAAGGGACAATCTAAGGCAGTGGTATAGGCTAAAGCATGGTTAGTGGAGAATAAAACTGGAACAGTTGTTGGGAGTTCAAGGACCATGAGGCCTGGCTGGGGAATTGGACTCAGTCTGCAGGCCTGGAGGCAGAAATGACATTTTGAACAGAAGAAAACGAGGTGATAGAGCTGTGTTTAGGGAGAGAATTGGCTTCAGCTCCCAGAGCAGATGGGAGGAAGGAATTAGAAAAGGCTGTAAGTGTCAGTGTGTCCTCTGTTAATGTGCCTTTAAACCTGTTGAATTGGGACTCTCTCTGATTGCTTGTGAAAATTGCACATTGTAGAAAGGCCATAAAGAGATGAGTTACAGTGCAGATGTACACATGCATCCCAATTTGAAAAGACAGACGTATAGACATGGAGAACTCACAAAAATAAGCTCAGTTATGGCCATTACTGGAAAAAATGGAGACTGGTCAGGAAAGGCATCCTGACCCAGGATTACTGAGAGTTAAGCAAAGATGGAGGAAGCACCATATTGCTAGCTAGATATACAGAGCTGGAAGCAGGCTCGGGGAGATGGGGAGCATCTCGGAGTGAGCAAACATCTCTCTTAGTAAGAAAAAGATACAGCTGGGTGGTGTGCTAGCCACAAGCTTAGCTGATGAGGGATCTTACTTTCTACTAGAGCCAGGATGTCTCAGCAGCTTACCCCACTTACATTTCTTCACGTTCCTGGTATTAAAAACTTAAGAAATGTCAAAACATGCCTATGCAAACTGTGGCATGTTTTGAATATTTGTTACATAGTAATCCCATGAGTTTTTGACATGACAAGCTACATAGGATAATAACACTATTAAAGAATTTTTAAAATATGGATTAGTGGCATACCAGAGTGTAGTCCAGTAATGGGGACCAAGGCTCCTGCTGTTGGAGAGACCTCGACGTCTCTCAGTGCTGTCAGCATGTCTCTGTTCTCCACAGCAAACAGCGTGCGTACTTAACACCAGCTCTGTGCCCCTGAGGTGAGTGTGAGACCCAGGCCCAATGCGCTCCTGATATCCTGCTGTGGCCTCCACCCCACAGGCCCTAAGGAGGGTGTGTGTGCAGAACGTAGTCATTAGTGCATTTCCCACCTTGTTATATGTGCACTGCTTGCACATCTTGCCAAGTGATCCAGAAACACAAGTGCTGCAGCTTACCTCGTGCCTTTATCATCATTTCCTTTGTCTGGTACCATGGTGTGTTAACTGCTAGCCGCTTCTACCTCCAAGTCAGTCTTTATTTGCCATATTGCTGGCAAATATTTCTCTCTCAAATACAGTTCTGAACATGTCACGACCTTGCCTCAAAACCATAAGTTGATCCTCTTATCCCGTAGGATAACATTCCCATTCCTCAGCATGACATCGAATGCCCCACAGGAGGGTCCCCAGCCCACCTGTCCAGTCTGACTTTCCATTATTCCTTCAACACTCCTCTGTTCCTGCTTGTCCACAACAGTTCTATGTTTTTCATTTCTCTCTGTTCTCATTCTCGCCGTTACCTCTTCCCAACAAACCCTTCTCTTCTAGCTAATTCTTACCCCTCACTCATGTGAAAAGTTCCTCGATGCTCCTGGTGGGAGAGGTTTTCTAGTCCTTCAGCCCGTCAGGCATGCCTTCAGTGCAGTGCGTGTTGGACAGGAGATCACTGGAGAGAGGGACTGTGATTATTTAACTTTATCTTTGTATGTCCTGCCCTTCTACCGTGCACAGTAAGGGCTCGATAAATGCTGCCTGGATGATTGAATTAATTGTCAGTAGTACCCCATACATTCAGAAGCAAGTTCAAGTTCAGTGCAAACTACCTCTTGCAAAAAGTTTGCTCCATTCTCACTCAGCATAATTGCCCAGTTTTTTGGATCGTTCTTAAAAGTACCGGTAGTTCTGATGGTTGCAACATGGTTCTTGGTTCTTGATTCTCCGTGTTTACATGTGTCTTCCAAAGCCAGGCCCTTTCCTTTTTCTTTCTCAGTTGCCTCCTGACTCAGCTGAGCCTGTCGAAGAAACCCCGCCAGACTTCATTTCCTTGACTTAGGCTATGATTTCAGCTCAGCCCATGGAAGCACCATCATCATTCATTGCTGAGATGGTGGCATGCTGCTTATCTGCGTGTAGTCATTTCCCGGGCAAGAAATAATGCATTATTAACACAGCTTCATTATCAGGCCCCGGTTTGGCAGATAGAGCAACATTAGAGGATAATTGGAAGGACAGCTGATTTGTTAGCAAAATGCTGCTTTTTGCCTAATGAATCATTGTGATTTTTGCACCGACAGCTCAGTAACAAGCTTGAAGACTACTTTGCTTCAGACCATTAAACTTTGACAAACCAGTTATTAACTGCAGCTAGAGCTAGCAGTCTGGGGGGATTGCCGCAATTATGAGCCATATACGTAATTTTTTATAATCATTAGTCGACAAGGTGAGTCTGATGACGGAGGGGCTGATGACTGACAGCCTCCATTGCTTTTTAGTACAGAAGGCAATAAACAGCTGCTGGGAGGACCATCAGTCAGCAAAGCTCGTTGCTGGGAAGATGCAACGCGAGTAATAAAGGTTATTGCTCTCGAACAACAAGCCCTGCTCAGGAAGGAAGAGGCAAGGTTCTCCTTTGACTTCAATTTTAGAGGCTGGAGGTGTTTTCTCAAAAGGGACCTGGAGGGAGGGAATGGAGAGAAAAGCCAGGCAGGACTTCAGGGCATGAGTGCTCTTCCTGCGCTTTACTGGGTTGCTGTGCTCGGGAATCCCAAAGCAAGGGGCTCGCCTCTCTCCTTCCTGTGCCCCACCCCCCACACTATTCACAGCAGGGGTCTCGCACTCAGGTGGGTTATACAAATTAGTAGAGAAGTAGAAAGTGGTAATGACTCTGGTAAAATTACAAGCCCAAAAAGAAATAAATAAAAACATACCAAGCAGGCCATCATGTCATCTGGTTTACAGACCAAAGTCCTGTGTTTGCTTTGGAGCATGAGGCCCTTCCCATCTGGCCTGCACCTCTCCAGCCTCGTCTTTTTGCACTGCCCTTTCTGAATCCTTATGTCCGAGTCTAACAGGGACGGTCTCCGAGAATGCCCACACTTTCCGATCCCTGTGTCTTTATTCCCCTAGGAATGGCCGTGCCCTTGAAATTCATTTCTGCATGCTTAGATCCTTCCCAATTTCAGGGTCTTGGTTTCTTGACTCATCAAATTGGGAAGAAGAGGTGGATGGTATCAATGTTAAGTCCTCTTCTAAAGCTCCGTGAGTCTGTGGCATTTTCACCAACTCTGGTAAGTACGCATATGGAGAGAGTTGCAGTCTGGGGCCCTAACACGTGTGACATTCTGCACCTCCTAGGTGGCCACATGGCTGGGAGTCTTGCTGTCGTCACGGACGCCGCCCACCTCTTAATTGACTTGACCAGTTTCCTGCTCAGCCTCTTCTCCTTGTGGCTGTCCTCGAAGCCTCCCTCCAAGCTGCTGACGTTTGGATGGCACCGAGCAGGTACCGTTCACTTATGGACCATTCGTGGCAGCGTAGTGCCTCAGAGGCAGACCGAGGGTGAAAACAAAAGGGACAGAGCAAAGCCTTGTTCGAAAAAATCCCTCAGAGGCACATCTCTAGATAAAACAGACACGTGATGGGAACATGCATTCTCAGTGTTAACTCAGCTAAAAGCCAGATCCATCAGACCATGCTCCAGTGGGTCAACAGGAGCACACGGATCACTTCGGCAACCACCCCAGCCCCAGGGTCTCATGTGTGGTGGCAGCCACGATGTCATTTATTAAGTTACTCTGCATCTGGGAGACAGGATGAGGGTAAAGCTCCTACCATTTTGCAAAGTAAGGCACAGACAGGACAAAAAAGTTGCAGAGATGGAAGAACTTCTCACAGGGGGGCAAGAATAGAAAGTGAAGGAGAACTGAGGGCGGGGCAGGGGTGGGCGACACGCTGACATGGCCAGGCTTCTCGGAAAGGCGCCCCCACCAGGGACCACAGCCCAGCAACCGTGGACTGCGCTTTTGCAAGCTTAGAATAGAAGGAAGTTCTAATTCCATTCAGCGAGCGAGACGGAGAAGGCAATAAACATAGATAAAAAGAGGTCGTGACAATGTGACCTGAAGATGCTTTCTCAGTCCCTCAACAGAGCCACTCTTGGAAAACAATGTACTTTTGGCTGAGCATCCATCATTTGTCTGCTACTTTACCTTTGCTGATACCATTGGCCAGAGCTGTCCTCTAAACATAGGATGTTTTGTAAGCATAGGGAGGACTCAGAATTGCAAATGCCACTTGTTGAGTCCTGGCCGTGGAAGTTCACAGACATATCAGAAGACCAGTGCTGCTCAACAGAACTCTGCTTCAGGGGAGATGTTGTATAGTATAGAGCATCACACGGCCATAGAACACTTTACTACATGGCCGGTGCTACTGAAGAACTGGATTTTTACTTTTACCGAATTTCAATTTAAACAGCCATGGGCAATTGATGGCTATTGCATTAGGCAGTACCGTGACATAGAGGCTGAAATCAACTAGAACATCAAATATGTAATTTCATGGAGATCTTTGTTCAGGAAGAAGCTAAATATAAAAAGTCCAATTATTTAAGGAGAATATGAAGTGTCTAATGAGACAGGTGGCAGGTGACTATGGCAAAAATCATGACAATTGTGCATAGTAACTAAAGTCGAGGGAACATGCCCCACAATGGGAAGCATGTTGCAGTGCACTCTTTAAAGAGGGGGGGTCGAAACGATGGAACGTGCCTGTCCACTGACTCACAGGATGTTTGTAGACCCTGTGGGCTTCCAGAAGCCATCCACAAGATCAGTTACAGATCGGGGTGAGGTGTTAACAATCTCCTGAGTGAGCAGATGTCATTTACTCAGCAGGCAAATTGAACTCTGTCTTGTCTTTAGATATTAATGTAAATGTCTTCATTCTGATGTTTCTTCTCCTTTCTGCCGCTCTTAAAATGCAGTGAAAGTGTTGATATACCTCTGAGCTTACCTCCGTGTTTATGGTATGTTGAGTTGGCAAATGAAACTCATTTTTCAAGTGCCCTCTGAAGACTTCCCTTTTCACTATTTTAATCCACAGAAGATACTGGTGCTGGCACGCTGTAAACGTTTTATGGCAAAATTAAGAGTTTCTAAATACCTTTCACTCTTTGTGTCTCATTATTTCATCTCTTAATAAGTTTCAATCAATTTCAGCACTTGCTTAAATTAAAATCCCAAGGAAAAGAGCATGGGTAGGCAGCAATTAATATGCTTTAAAAATTTGCCTCAAAGTACTGAGTAACATGGAGTGTAATGAAGTCACGTGCTGGTGTTTTATATATGCAACATAAAACTACTCCATCTTAGTGCAAAAATCTTTCTAAACTTTTGCTTTGTGAGTCAGAGTGAACTAGTTTGAAACCGTTTTTGGCAGGGAGGAAACATGAATGCCTTATGACTCTTGGGGACATTAAGGTGATTCCTAAATTGTTTGTGTGCGGATGTCTGTGTGCTTACATCCTTAGAGATCCTCGGTGCCCTGCTGTCCATCCTGTGTGTCTGGGCAGTGACAGGTGTGCTGGTGTACCTGGCGTGTGAGCGCCTCCTCTACCCCGACTACCAGATCCAGGCGACTGTGATGATCATCGTCTCGGGCTGTGCAGTGGCAGCCAACATTGTGTAAGTCCCCCCGCCACTGCCCATGAAGCCAGTCATTAACCCTGTCTGGATGTAGATGTGTGTTTGTTGTGTTACTTTTTGTTTTTGTTTAATTCCTCCACTGCGGGGGATGGTGGAGACCTGAGAGAGCATTCAAATAGCTCTATGACTGAAAGGAAGGCTGGCTGTGCTAGCTTATGTGCTTTAATATGGGCTTCTAATAGCTACCGTTTTGAATGCTTCTTATGTGCCAGGGACTGTGCTACGATCTTTTGATCTACATCATCAAGCTCAATGTTCACCACATCCCTACTTTACAGATTAGAAAACTGAAACTCACTGAGGTTAAATAAATCAGAGAGGAGGTGGTGTTGAACCTGGATTTGAATCTAGACCTACCACTCTCAGAATCGGGTCCTGGCCATTCTGCTCTCTCATGCATGTTGATGGTTCCAAATGGGATGTGATTTACTACTATTCGGTTTTTATTAAGGAACATATTATGGGTTCCCAGAGAGCTGGGTTGGAAGGGATCTTACATATTATTTACTTCAGTCCCCTTTCTACTTCTGAATTCTCTTTTGCAACATCCCCATAAAATAGTCATTAGTTTCATATATTTTAAAAGAACTAATAACAACATTTATTTCTCTCAAAAGCACTCTATCTTATCTTTGCATTATTTTGACTACATGAAACTTCTTCCTTAAGTTCTGTTAGCTAAACTCTGTCTTTATTTTCTGCCTATTGGTCCATTCTCTTAACCAGGTAGTCTTAAATCATTCTTACGGGCCATGTGATCATTGTCATGTTTGGCTGCTGTTCCCCAAATGAACTACTCAATTGCTCATGATGATGGGGTTTTAAAGGCCAGGACTTTAATCTTTTTGGTCAATTTGCTCCTTCCCATTTAAATAGGGTTGCCCTGACTCTGGGCAACCCTATTCACAACTGCATCTGTCTGTCTGTCTAACGGTCTATCATCTGTGGTGAAGAAAATAATGGCCCCCCAAAATTTCCACATTACTTGGCACTTCTAACTATGTTAACTTACACAATAAAAGGAATTTCTAAAATGTGATTAAGTTAAGGGTGGATCTTGGTATGGGGAAATTATCCTTGACCATTCAAATAGTCCCACTGTAACTCAAAGGTCCTTATAAAAGGGAAGTGTAAGGTCAGAGAGGGGAGAAGGTGCTGCATTGCTGGCTTTGAAGATGGAGGACGAGACCTGGAGTCAAGGAATATAAATGACATCTAGAAGCTGGAGAAGGTGAGAAAATGGGTGCCCCCCTGGAACCTGCAGTAGAAATGCAGTCCTGCACACACATTTTAGATTTCTGACCTCCAGAACTATAAGATAATAAATTTATCTTGTTCTAAGCTACAAAGGATTATTGGAATTTGTTACAGCAGCATTAGGAAACTCATACACTATCTATGCATCATCTCTGTCTATTTTGCAATGCAACATGGTGCACACTGTGCAGTGGGTTTATACATGAAAGTGAAAACAGTGAGGGACACATTGCCTCTTAAGTTGCACAGGGGAATCTCTAAAACTGGAGTAAAACCTGAGCATGCACACTTTGGAAAAGCTTCTCAGGTCACTCTGATATCCTTATCTTGTGCCTGCCTCTGTCCCTCACCTCTTAGTTTGCCAATCATTTCTCAAAATCTGTGAACTAAAGAGTTAGAAGAGTGGTATTTCACTTGCTGTCACTGAGTAGATCCCTATTTCCTCCAGCCCCAGTTATATTGAAAATGTGTTTCACGCTGGCACTGGGTAGATCAATGCAAATCTGTTACCATCAGGAGGCAAACCAGAGCGCATGTCCTCCTGACTGGGGGCCCATGATATCATTGTTGCATAGGAGAACAACACGTCCACAGGCTGCAGGAGCATAAAGATACTCACAGCTTTCCGAGTCATACGTCACATAAGTTGTGTCAATGACACATAAAGATGAAGGATACCCCTAGCTAATGACCCTATAAACCTGGACACTCAATGGTTGAGTTTGACTTTCTACCCAGATACCATTCACATTTTCTTTTTACTGCCACTGCTTTTGAACTTGGACCTCAATTTTCAATGTTCAGAAAGACAATGGAATTGAAAGGCATTGACTTTCCTGGCCAATCAGGTGGTTATTAATGGATGAGGATACTGATGACTCTAATGTTTTCTCCCAGAACTGGGATTATAGGTTCCAAGTACAGCTAGAGGCTGTGTTGTCTGAATAGGGATATCAGAACCATAATCTGGGAACATATTTATTCCCTGGGGACTCAAAATCAGGACAGAAAGTTGTAGTACAGGTTGCAAAGGGATTCCAGGGTGAAAATCACTGACAGAGGCTTCAGGCTATTACATGCTCAGTTTTCTCTGCCTGAAACATTCCCACCCCTCGTCAGCTCATTTAACTCTAACCTTTCGAATCCAACTCAATTGTTTTGTCTTGCCAACTAAACCGGACTCCCTTGGTCAATTATCTGTAGCAGCAGTTTCTCATACACTTATTATAATTAGAATTGTCCATGTATGTATGTGTCTTTCTAAGTTCTCTGCATCTCCTTCATAGTTAACACCATGATGGGGAGGGATCGTGTCTGTTTTCACTCGGTTTTATGCCCCAGACATTTAACAGGGCCTGGCACACACGGGTCCCTAAGTAAGTTTTTTTCCCCCTTCAAATACAGTGAGTGAAGAATGAATGACAATGTCAGGAGCACATGCGGCAGACCTAGAACGAGCATGGATTCACCGTCAGCCATAGCAGGCTGTCTGAAGAACCCAGAACAACAACTCCTCACTGAGGTTCTAAGATCGCCCGAACACTGACAGTCTGAAAAGTGTACCTTATATAATAATCAAATTTTGGTGGAGAACAGCCAGTTCACTTTGTGACGATGGCCTGAGATTTAGCAGACACTCTATTGAAAATAGAGGTACAAGGTACCCAACAACAGTTTTTAAGACCTTTGTAATGAAAGGTACGGAAAAAGTTTTTAGGCAAAACCGTCCTTGTTGGCCATCAGTAAAAAAGTTCTGATTTGACCTTTGGTCTAAACCTCTTGAAGTTATAGATAAATAGAGTCAGGTTCGTAGTTTATAATGACTACCACTGAACTCTGATGTGAATAGGAACTGTTCAGTTTTGTAGTATTTTATAGGTGTGTGGGTACCTATATCTACATCTACATTTGTAATATTTTAATATACTTTAGTCTCTGGATAAGTAGCCACATATACATAAGCACAGTATACTCATCGTTGGCCATTAGAAAATTATTCAAATTTCAAATTGTCACGTAAATGAACAGAATTAAGTGAAATAAAAGATTAAAAAATCCAACCCTGATGAAATTCACTTGTTGTATTTTATCCCTTCTGCTGCTTTTTGCATTTGAGAGCAGCACATTTAATTACGTTCCCACCAAAGCTCAGCTTTGAGCCTGCCTCAGTGCTTGACATGCAGTGGGCCATCATTGAATGCTATTTCCCCTCCTCATCGTCAAACACTTGACTTTCATCTAAGAAGGGATGATTTCCAGGCTTAATGTGAAACAATGGCATCAGGTGGATAGAAGGGAAAACTGAGGGAAATCTTCGTTGTCTCTCCTTACGTGACAAATTTTAAATGCTATGATCCACTTGTGTTCAAAATTAGTCCAAAATAGTGTATCTTAAAACATTGCCATTTCAATTATCTGCCAATTTGGATAATATACGCCACTGTCAACCCTTCCATTACACTGCACAGGTTTTTAAGGGTTAATCTCATGAGTGCTGAGAATGCTGTTCTCTCGTTCAGACTGAGTGTGATCTTGCACCAGAGACGCCCTGGTCACAGTCACAAGGAAGTGCAAGCTAATGCCAGTGTCAGAGCAGCCTTTGTGCACACCCTCGGAGATCTGTTTCAGAGCATCAGTGTGTTAACCAGTGCACTTATTATCTACTTCAAGGTGAGTATGTTTGATTTCACCCACTGTCGTCGTGATTTTATAGACCAACCTGTGTAGAAGTGGATCCTCCGATAACTTAAACGAAGGTAGACAGACGATGTTTGCCTAAACGAACTACTGTGCAAGTTTTCAAACAAACAGGCATGCATTCAAAGCCTTAAACCTTAGACTTAAATTCCTAAGAGCTGTGTCTTTAACTGTAGAACTTCCAGTCTTTCAGGAAAGTGGTTCCTTTTGTCATGGAGTCAATATGGACCACAATGGAACCATGAATACATTAGAGATCTTGGGTTGTAAGCACCAGAAAGATCTCTAGCTCACTTAAGAAAAAAAATTATATATATACATATATGCTGAAATTCATTGGATAAACTGCCACACAGAAATTAAGGTACAAATAAGGGGGACTTCTTTCAGAAACTATCCAACTTCTGTCCCAGACACAAGACTGAAATGAATGTAACTCAATTTTTTCCATCTCTTGTCATTATGCTGAAGTTTGCTATTTCTGGAAAAGGGAGTCTCATTGACCTAGTTTGGGTCTCATACCTGCTGCTTGGCGGGGGAAAGGGTAGAACACCAGGATGACGGTCCCACCAATATCACCTACTGTGGGGGGAGGTAACTGCTCTCCAAAAAGTCCGGGTGTTAATGGAAACTGGGAATGGATCTGCAGGGTCTCTGACCCTCAGGAAATTTTCACTACAGATCTCTATTGGGCAGTATTGAGAGCAAATAGGGGGGCGTTTAGAGTGGGGGTCGGGGGTGATGGAGGAAAAGAGTTTCAATCTCTGTTCACGTCATGCCTGCCCAGTTAGCAGGGACTCCGCATTATTTTCGCTAAAAAATGAAAACATGCAAATGCAAATTACAAAGACAGAACAGAATTCAGTCGAGCAAATGCTCACTGAAAGCTTTAAGGAAAACACTTCAAAATTATATGGGTTAGTGGAGTTTGAGAGTATGCTTATAAAGGCTAGGTTGATGCCAAGTTTCTTAGAGATAATGAGGTACATACTTTTCCATGGCACAAAACTGCATCAGAGGCAGAACAGCAGGTGTTTCACCCTGAGGCTAAGGGGGCCGGTAGTAGCGAGGCAAGAATGAGGCCCTGGCTTGTCCTCTTAGGATGGTATCGAAGATGCCTGCCTCGAATATGTGCCATACTTGGGAGGGAAACACCAAAGTACCTCCAGTCTGCCGAGACCAAGATCCAGCTTTGCTTTCTTCGTATGCAACCTCTGGGCAGATGACGTGCTTCCTTCTCATCAAAAGTAAGGCTGAAAAGTCACTGGGTATTGTGCAAATCAGTCTACCACACACTGGGTACTTCTTTTAATTCCAGAGACGTTAAATCGGGCCTCTTGAGAAAACACTCAAGAGTATCTTTTCCATTACTTCTTAAATTATGGGAGCGCATGTCTTGTAGTCTTTCTTCTTCCCTCACTGGTTGTTTAAAGCCTAAAAGAAGGATTAAGTCTTCAGAAAGTGCGGCCTCTGAGTTGAATGTCAAGTGTCAGGGGGGTGAAAGGGTGATGGAGAGGGAAGGAGACAGGGAGGTTTACTGATTTTATTTTAAGTCAGACTGTCTGCCAAGGAGGCACAGAACCAGTTAACCAAAGCCCCTGCGTTTTCCAGCCAGACTATAAAGTGGCCGACCCAATCTGCACCTTCGTCTTTTCCGTCCTGGTTCTGGCCAGCACCGTCACCATCTTAAAGGACTTCTCCATCCTACTCATGGAAGGTAGGAGTGATTTCACTCTTATTCCTAGGACCCGTGTTTCCTCTTCCCTAGGACCGCAAAAGGGAGTAGCCTCACTGATAAGATGCATCTCAGAAAATATTTATACTGATAAGGAGTTTTGGGGAAAAACAAATGCTATGATTTTCTTTCAGACAAGAACCAGTAAAAAGTATTGGCTTCTGTTTTTCCTCCAACAGATGTTAAATGATATGGTTCAGTGTAAAAACAATATGCACAAACAGTGGAGATAGGCATGGAGGACGTTATGGAAAAGATATTAGTTGATCCCTAAGTGTGAGGAAAAGACCCAGGAAAGGCTGCATAGATCTGCCCTTCAGGCAGCATTGTAACTATCGTGAATGATTTGCCCGAACCCTTGTTAGACTGGGCTGGTGGTTCTCCAGCTGTAGTGGCATCAGAATCACTTGGAGGGTTTGTTAAAACACAGATTGCTGGGCATCCCCCACCCCGCCAATTCCTGAGATGGTAGGTCTGGGGTGGGGCCCAGGAATGTGAATTTCTAACAAGATGCTGCTGCTGCTGCTGCTGCAGCTGGTCTGGGGAGAACCACTGGATTAGTCTTTTTTGTATCACTAACGAGATTTCTATAGGAGGGGACTGTGAACAACACCCCCAAAATTCAAGCAGAACCAGAGGTTTGCACTACATCAAAAATGCAGATGATCAAAAATACCTGGATATTGGCTGAACATTTCTTTTTCGTCTAGCGTATTTTGATATATAAGGTAGATACAGTCTCAGAAGGCATTGCCTTCAAAACAGCTCACATCTCCATAGTGTTTACTGCCCCGGCTACATTTAAGGGCTCTGTTCTCAGTGGGCCTTATCGTTGTTGGCAGATGATAACGTTGACAGTAGTGAAACAAAACGGAGTCGAACGTCATGGAGTAACAAGTGAACTTCGTCACCCTGGAGGTGACAACGTCTGGTTTGACAAGTCACAGATACATCTGCTTCCTTTCCTGAGGGCCAGGTGCGAGCTGCAGCTGTTATGGCTGTTATGGAACTTACTGACTAAAAGGGGGTTAGACAGATTGGTCCACAATTTGAGACGACTATATCCCAATTTCCCTGTCTTTTTCCCTGGTGATTATCCAGGGAAGAAAGGACAGCTAATCACTGAAACTGTCCGATAACTCCTACCTGGAAGATTTTTAATTTTTAAAATAGGTTTTCAAATTAGGTTAGCATAAAAGAATAGTTATCTTTGGTAAAATACTGAAATAATATGGAAAGGTAAAAATGAATTTAAAAAGTCTCCCCATTTTTCCACCTTTGAATTCTCAGTCCCATTCATCAGGGGTAATGCCTACTAATAAGGTGACACATACCTTTCAAAAATAACTATGCATTTATATATGTACATGTTATATATACACAAGTATAAATATATGTGTGTGTACCATTTAGGTAGTATATGTATAGTGCAGGTGTGCATGTATGTATGTATTTTTTAAACAAATGGGATTCTGCGCTTGTTTTTTCCACTTTCCATAACTAATATGGAAAGATCTCCAATATGATAAAAAAATACTAGAAAGATACATAGAAACACCCCATTCTTTTGCATAGCTACAAAGTATTCCTCTGAATACATGTACTTGCTTATTGATGGGCATTAAAAACGATGGTATAATTATCATTCTTATACATATGTATTTTTAGCACTTACATATCTGTGGAATAATTCCTAGAAATGTTATTTCTGTTTCCAAAGTTCTGTGCATCTTAAAATTTGACAGATACTGCCATTCCTGCCAAAGATCCTAAATCAGTGTCTTTTTGGCCACCAGCCTACACCAGTGCCCGTCCCCTCACAAGTTCAGCATCGCTGGGCATTGTCGAACCGCTGACTCCTTCCTAACCTGATAGGGGAAATGTTTTATCTTATTGGCTTCACATGCAGTTCTTTAACTGAGTCAGGCTGAGTGATTTTTTTCATGTATTTACTAACCTGGGAAACTATTTTTTAAACACCAATTTGAGTATTTTCCTGGCTGCATGAATATTTTTGCAGGCTCTCCCTCAGAAAAGAAAGGTTTCTAGAATGTGGGGGAGCATTGAGGTCAGTGGGAGCACGTCCCTGTGCTTGTCAGCATTATTCCGTAGAGTGAAAGAAAGAGTAGTGGACTTGTGTTCCCCATGAATGTGGAGGTAAAGGAGGCCAGAGAGACAGAGGGTAATGGGATCATGACTTCGTCTCAAGGGTCCTAGGTGAATGGTAGCAGGTCAAAGGGAACTCCCCAGAGATGACCCACTGGGCACAATGGCCAACTTTGGGTCGGAACACCTAGAGTCTAGCATTTGCATAACACCTCACACTCAGAGCATGAACTCTGACACCACACTTATCTGTGTGGCCTTAGCAATGCTTTTTAACTTCTCTGTCTCCACATAGCAGTTGTAACACTGATAACTAGCTCTTCAAGTTCTTATAAATACTAAAGTAAAATAATCACTCTAAATAAAGTGCTCGGCACAAACCTTGCCCTACGGTGGGTAGGTCCTCAATAAAGGTACACTATTATTATTATTATTACTATAATAGAACCACTTCACCCATGACTCCAAAAGGTACACTATTATTATTATTATTACTACAATAGAACCACTTCCCCCATGACTCCAATGCATCCTATGGCTCATCTGAGACAAAACTCCTTTAATTTGTTTCTGGTATCCTGTACTTTGTGCAGCTCATTCAGCAAAAGTACATGTTGACCGGTGCTTTGTTGCCTCTGTGAAACAATATGAAGTGGGATTACACTGAACTCACACTGTAGAGAATATTAAAGTAGCCCTACGGGGAAAATCCCCGTGAGCAAGGTCCTTAACTCCAAGGAAGGAGGGTTAAGGATGCTCTCTATATTTTTAAGTAAACGCTTCTCAACTAGCTGGTCATGACAATCTGGGAAGCTTTCTAAAAGCACCTAAGCTCAGGCCCCATACCCAGAGACTCTGATACAACTGACTGGGGTGGCGACTGGCTTTGGTGTTTTCTAACACGTGGCCAAGCTTGAGAACCACTGCAAAGTAGAAACACTGTCCAGTGGCTTATAAATGTTGGTACAATGGTTCTCGACATTGACTTTGTTAGAGTCATCAAACAGGCATCGGAAGTACTGATGCTGGGTCTTATCCCCAGAGGGTCTGATGTAATGGGTCTTGCATGTAACCCCATCATCAGGATTTTTAAAACCTCCTCCAGTGATACTACTGTGCATCCAAGGTTGAGAGCTACTCTGCAAGTGTATAGATTTCAGAGCCTCATCCACAGAAATTTTCTTCAGGAGGATGGGAACGCAGCCAAGGCATATTTATTTTTAACGAACACACCAGGTGTTGGTGTGGTATACATAGGATTGAAGTAGAGATTTAAAGATGGTCAGCCTTAGAAATCTCTTCTACAGCATTCTGTTTGGATCGTCCTCAATTGACAGGGATTTACTACTGCATCCAGTGGCTTTTGACATTGTTGTGCTGGTCGAACTGGTACCTTTTACAATTCTAACCAGCCATGGGCTCCTGTACTGAGCCAAAGCAAGCAACTTCAGACTTTTCATACCTTCTAGTCTTCTGTACGACAATCCTTGCAAAGTTTGAGAAAAGCCATCCTACTTCCTTAGCCTGCTCTTCTCCAGGCTCAAGACACCCCAGTTCCTTCAGCCCCCAAGGAAAGCCGAGTGGCTGCTGGCCAGACCACCCACCTTCCTGTGTGCTCCCCACTATTTCTTTAGAAACAAGGATGGCAGTTAGACTATTACATTCTGTGCCCTGAACTTGAAACCCTAACTAATGAATCTAAATCAACATTTTCACTTAAATTTTTATTTTCATGGAATTTATTAGAGTGACATTGGTTAATAAAATTGTATAGGCTTCATGTACAATTCTGTAACACATCATCTGTATACTGTATTGTGTGTTCACCACATGAAATCAAGTCTCCTTCTGTCACCATTTATCTCCCTGTAGCTTCTTCAACCCCCCATCCCCACCCCCTTTTCCTCTGGTAATCACCATACTGTTGTCTGTATCTATGAGGGTTTTTTTCACTTAATCCCTTCATCTTTTTCACCCAGCTCCCAACAACCTTCCTCTCTGACAGCTGTCGGTCTGCTCTCTGTCTCCATGAGTCTGCTTCTATTTTGTTTGAAAGTTTAGTAAAATTTTACAAACGGAATGTTATAATGGTATTACAATGTTAGGATCACCTATTAATGCAGTTCACTTAACTGACCTATTGGGTAACTAACATTGGTATAGCATCACAGTTTACAAAGGGCAGTTATTTTCTGATATGCTCCTCAAAGAACTCTGTGAAATATATACTATTCTTATCACCCTCATTTTATTGCAAATGATGCTGAACATTAGAGAAGTTCCAAGATTTGGATAAAGTCAAAATACTTATAGCCAGAATGCTAACCCAGGATTAACTGATACCAAATCCCAGATTATTTCATTTTGCTTCCAGAGTGTATGCAAAGGTCATTGGGAAAAGCACAATTGGTTTAATAATACACACTGGAAATGAAGGATGATCATGTAACTGTTGCTGATTATTGCACAGTAAAATCTGCAAATATTTGTCATGAATCTGATTTGTACACATTTGAAATAAGAAACTATAAATGGAGATGGCACACGTTGATACCTGGGTGGGGATACTGCAGACCCAATTAGCCATCTCAGTGAGTAATATCAGTTGAATAACAGCAACCTCCCATTCAACAACCACCCACTCCTTCCTTTTGTCAGGGGTGCCAAGCAACCTGAGCTATGACTCAGTGAAAGAGCTCATCTCGGCGGTGGACGGGGTGGTGTCTGTGCACAACCTGCACATTTGGTCTCTAACAATGAACCACGTGATTCTCTCAGTGCATGTTGCTGCAGGTCAGTGAGTTCTGTAAACACCCTGGACAAAATCCAGTCCCTGTTCTATAAACTCAGTAATTTTCCTCCTCTTTGTAGAGCTGCCCTTAGAGCCTGCTGCCTGTCAAAACAACTGTGAAGTGCTTTGTATTACCAAGGGCCTTTGAAAACCATCCCTCCTGTCAATGTCGTCATGGCAACAGGGATAGCGATGACATCCCTAGGGACTGACTGAAGAGGGTACAGAGTAGAATAAAGGGGTAAAGTGCCACCCAAACTTCAAGACCTTAGGCTCTGAGAAATTAGACTTCACTTGCTTGACGTGGCACCCAAACAGTTAGTTAAATAATAGGAATGATTTAAACAATTAATCTCTATTAAGTATCTCCTGATTATGAGACACTTTGCCTATCACTGAAGACAGAAGGATGAAGGATGCACAGGCTCTAACCTTAAGATTCCAACAATCTCAAAAACATGCTAGTAAAAGTTAATAATTTTTTTAGTGAATGGTAATAAATTCTATAACCATGTGTGACAATAACTAGGATGTTGGGTTTATTGTAAAAACTACTTTCTCAAGTAGACGGTGATTTTATCCAGGACATGTCCTAGGGCTGACGAAGTGGGCAGTGGGAGGAGTCCCACTGCCTCCCAGGACAGCTCAGGCTAAGGATGATACATTAGGCTGCTAAGAAATAACTCAAGAACTTGCTTAGTGGCAGGGTACAGGGATGTTGGTGACAGTCATCTGAGGACTTTGCTTTCTCAGACATCCTCATCTTCTCTGAGAGGATCAGATCTGGCTGCAGGGAATTTACAGCATCCACTACACCAATATTGTATTGCAAATGGAAGAATCTAGTAATCAGGCTACCATGGAGGGAACTTTATAGCCTCCTGACACCTTTGGGGACAAGAGGAAAGATGGAGTAAGGGTTGCTGCTCTAAGAAAGGTCTGTGGGGAGCTCTAAATGCTTCCTGCCTCCTGTCACTAGTCTTGATATAGCTTCTGATTAGATGCAAGGGCTGCGAATCAGCGGTCCCCGGGGACTGGTGAGCAAAGCTGTATAAGAAATAACTGTTGTCTTGGCTTTTTTTCAGGGCTCATTTCCCCTTCTATAAGCAGCACCTAGGAGTGCCAGACCCCAGAGAAAACTGTGAGAACAGCTCCCACAGTGACGGGGTACTTTGCTGCACTAGAATTTCCCCTCTGCCTTGCCTGTGTGGCTGTAGCTGATTGTCAGAGCCAATCTGCCTCATTCCGAGTGCGTGGCCTAGGTCCCACCCCATGGAGTACTCGAAGCTGGGGGTTTACTAGTCACCTCTGTGTGTACAATCAATGCCAGTCTCACTGTGGTTCCTTTTCAACAGCAGCCAGCTGGGACAGCCAGAGTGTTCGGAGGGAGATTGCTAAAACCCTCAGAAATAGCTTTCCTGTGCATTCACTCACCATTCAGATGGAATCTTCAGCCGATCGGGACTCTGCCTGCCTTTTCCGTGAAGATCTCTGGGACTAGTTCGGTCACACTGTCAGTACACCACATGTGACAGGCCACTAAATGATGCTCTGCAGTTTCTGGAACATAAGAAATAGAGAAACAAAAGAGGATGTTTGAGAAATTGATGATACAATACAGTGCACCTTTTATACTCCTTTATTTAGCTCCATCCACCAAGAATAAGATAAATTTAGATTCACCAATCAATTGGATTATCAACTCATCAGTAGCTGTGTTCAATTTCAGGAATGTACGTGTAGGTCATTCCTGACGGGGCCTGAAATAACAGCTGTCTGTAACTGCAGGCAATAAAAAGTTCATTGCCATTCAGTGGCACCGCCCAAGGGTGACTGAGTGAAAATGAACTCAGGAAAGTCTGATCAGGGATCTGTGGCAGGGCAAAGAGTCACAAAAATTTCCCAAAACCCAAGAAACAAAAATAAGATGAGCCAAATTAGAGGTAAAAGAGAATGTGGAGGTCTAATACTTCTTAAGAACTTGACTTTTCTACGAAGTTGTCAAGTAGTAATATGATTTGGGGAAAGTTTTTTTAAATCCTCACTTGAGAACATGCTTATTGATTTTAGCAAGAGGGGCAGGGAGGAAGAGAGAAAGGGAGAGAACCATTGATTGGTATGTGCCCCAACCAGGGACCCAACCCATAACCTAGGCATGTGCTCTGACCAGGAATCAAACCTGTGACATTTCAGTTCATGGGGCAAGGCTCCAACCACCTGAGTCACACCAGCCAAAGAGGGGCAATTCTTTTGAACCCTTGTCTCTCAACATGACTACTCACTAAATGGTGTAGAAATGCCCTCTCTTCATCTTGCTTATAAGGTATGTTGTAATATGTCTGAAACTATTGAATTATATTTTACTTCTCTGTATAAAAATTCTGTATAAATTAAAATTTATGAAATTACTGTTTTGGGGGTATTTTCATATGGTCTGACCTAATAATAAAAGAAAATGGGGAGACATAGAGAGGCAGAGTACTTACCCCAAGTCACGTGGAAAATAATTTAATCAGAGAATTAAGATAAGAACTCCCAGGTCTTAAATAATATTTATGGAGCACTATTGTCCAAGTATTTTACTGGGCTATTTATCACCTTACTTCATTTGAATGATAATTTTGAGAAGTTGTTAAGACCATCATTGTACAGGTAAGGACATACAGCTCATACAGGTTAAGTGAATTAACCATGTCATTTATTCATTCATTCAAAAATAAGTTTTGAGGCCAGCTATTGACTGAGCATTGGTGATCCAAGCCGATAGGGCCTTTGCCTTCATAGAGTTCTCTCTCTACTGTGGGAGAGGTGGGCATCACACTCATAAACACCACTGAACACCCCCAAGGAAGGACTACAAACAGTGACAAATGACGATGAGAGAAGAGATGCTGATTTAGATTGGGGGCAGTCAGTGGAGAGCCTCTATGAAGAAATAGCTTCTAAGTGGACAGCTGAACAAAAAAGTGAGTGGTAAGTACATGAGAAGTAGGAGGAAGCTGTTTCTTGAAGTGCAAGATCATGACTGGGGACACTGAGGAGAGAACTTGGTGTATTGGAGGAACTGAAGGAGGACCTGTGGCTGGGGGCACTACGTGAGGGGGTGAATTAAATAAAAAAATGAAATGGGAGAGATAAGGAAGTTCAAGTTGGAAAGTAGCTGAAGCCCAGATCTATTTTATCCAAAATCTTATCTACACTTTATCTTTGAACATGTTTATTTTTTGGTTGTTTCTGTTTTTAAATTATATTTTATAATCAATTTACTCTCTAATAGATTCAGATGTACACTGTAGTGATTAAACCAACATGTACTTTAATGAGTGGTGACCCCCCCAATATTTTAAGTACCCACCTGGCCCCGTACATAGTTATTACAATTCTTTTGACCAAGTAATCTGCATTGACGATGAACCATTATTTCAGAATTGCATGAAAAAGACAAATCTATGTCCTTCAAAAAATCAGATGAAAAAAAATTCCTGAGTTTAAAAGCAAAGGACTGAGAGATAGGACTTCTGGTAAAAATGGAGGAGTAGGTAGATATACTTTGGCTCATTACACAACCAAAAGAAGGACAACAACAAATTTAAAAACAAAAACTCCCAGAACAACCAGAACTCCCAGAAAATCAAATTGTATGGAAATCCAACAACCAAGGAGTTAAAGAAGAAACATTCATTCAGACTGGTAGGAGGGGTGGAGATGGGCAGCTGGGCGGAGAGGACTCACAGCAAGGTGGCAGCTGGAAGACTGGGTGAGCAAGGCAGTAGCTGGCTATCTCACAATTGTGTGAAGATAAACCGGGAGGAACAACTGGGAAGCGAGACAGGCTCCGCAACCCAGGGTTCCAGTGTGGGAAAGTAAAACCTCAAAACCTCTGACTGTAAAAATCTGTGGGGATTATGGCAGAAAGAAACTCCCAGACTCACAGGAGACTTCATTGGAGAGGCCCACAGGATCCTAGAACACACAAAAACCTACCCACTAGGGAACCAGCACCAGAAGGGCCCAATTTGCTTGCCAGGGGAAGTGACTGGAAGCTGGCTGAGAGCCACGTAAGCTGCATTGTTCCCCCTAGCACCCCTCCCCCCCATACAGTGCAACAACACAGTGATGTGGGTTGCCCTACTCTGGTGAATATCTAAGCCTCCACCCCTTAAAATGTAACAGATATGTCGAGACAAAAAAAAATATGGCCCAAATGAAAGAACACATCAAAACTCCAGAAAAAGAACTAAGCAACGAAGAGACAGTCAACCTATCAGATGCAGAGTTCAAAATGCTCACAGAAATGGTAATCAGGATGCTCACAGAAATGGTTGAGTGTGGACACAAACTAGAGGAAAAAATGAAGGCTATGAAAAGTGAAATAAAGGAAAATATACAGGGAACCAACAGTGAAGGGAAGGAAACCAGGACTCAAAACAACGGTTTAGAGCAGAAGGAAGCAATAAATATTCAACCAGAACAGAATGAATAAACAAGAATTCAAAAAAATGAGAGGCTTAGGAACCTTAGGGACATGTTTAAACATTCCAATATCTGAATCATAGGGGTGCCAGAAGGAGAAGAGGAAGAGTGAGAAATTGAAAACTTAATTGAAAAAATAATGAAGGTGAACTTCCTTAATCTGGAAAAGGCAATAGACATCCAGGAAGTCCAGGGAGATCAGAGAGTCCCAAAGAAGTTGGACGCAAGGAAGCACACACCAAGGCACATCATAATTACATAACCCAAAATTAAAGATAAGGAGAGAATCTTAAAAGTAGCACCTTGCAGACAAGAAAGGGCTGGAAAGAAGTATTTGAAGTCATGAAAAGTAAGGATTTACATCCAAGATTGCTCTATCCAGCAAAGCTTTCATTTAGAATGGAAGGGCAGATAAAGTGCTTCCCAGATCAGGTCAAGTTAAAGGAGTTCATCATCACCAAGCCCTTATTATATGAAATGTTAAAGGGGTACCATTAAGAAAAAGAAGATCAAAACTATGAACAGTAAAATGACAACAAACTCACAACTATAAAAAACTGAACCTATAAATAAAAACAAACTAAGTAAACAACTAGAACAGGAACAGAAACACAGAAATGGAGATCCCATGGAGGTTTATCAGCGGGGAGGAGAAGAGAGGAGAGTGGGGGGGAAAGTACAGGGAATAAGAAGCATAAATGGTAGGTACAAAATAGACAGAGAGAGGTTAAGAATAGTATAGGAAGTGGAGTAGCCAAAGAACTTACATGTACGACCCATGGACATGAAATTGGGGGAGGGGGGCACTGGTGGTGGGGGTGGTGCAAGGCAGATGGGAATAAAGGGGAGAAAAAAAGTGGAACAACTGTTATAGCATAATCAATAAAATATACTTTAAGAAAAGTGAAGGAGCCCTGGCTGGCGTAGCTCAGTGGATTGAGCGCAGGCTGTGAACTAAGGCATCACAGGTTCGATTCCCAGTCAGGGCACATGAATGGGTTGCAGGCCACAGCCCCCAGCAACTGCACATTGATATTTCTCTCTCTCTTCTCTTTCTCCCTCCCTTCCCTCTCTAAAAATAAAATAAAAATAAAGTCTTTAAAAAAAGTGAAAGACTGACAGTGCTTTCTTAATGTATCCTATCCTAGGAAGCATTAAACTTATAGCCTCTCTACACAGAGTCTGGCTAAGGACAAAAGAAACCTGAACTAATAGACATGGCTGTGGGCTGACCTGCCAATGACCTCACCCCCAGAGAGCCTGAGTTATGCTGGGGACACTGGGGGTATGAAGGCAGATGTGACTGTCATGGTGGAAGTAGGGAACTCTCTCTGTTGGAAGAATGCACGTGAGAGGGCATTAGAAACCATGATTGCTGTCCCTTTCTGGTTCCTCCCAGATCTGTGACCTTGTGCTGGTCTGCATTTCTCGGAGCTTCTAATTCCTCATCTAAAAATGGGGATTATATTCAATATTTTTCATCAAAGGGTCTCTGTTAGAATAATATGAGACAATAAACATAAAGAATAGTTTTTGTGTGTGATAGGACTGAGCGCTCAACAAATGTTCTTTTCAATCCAGGGTCTCTCGGCCTCTGCATTAGTGATCTTTCAGGCCAGGTCATTCTTTGCTGTGGAGGGTTGGGGCATGAAGACTTGGAGCTTGAAATGGCTGCCTTTTGACAGGAGGCCAGCGGGATAAAAAAGAACCTGAGGCTGCTTTGTTCATTCCAGGGCGACTTCTGCTCACTTTCCAGGTCCTCCGTCCAGGGGGCACGAGTATTTAATATGATTTGTCTGAAACCAGGACATTCTTTGGTCTCTATTTTCCTCTTAGACAGGGTTACTGGGTCTTACAGTGAGGGGCACCTGCTCTCATTTTTTTCTCTTCTTGCCCCTTTGATAAGTAAACCTAGACGGAGTGTGCCTCCTTGGTCCAGACCCATGCGTGGCTCTCTCCTTTTCTTCTCCGGCTCCTCTGGGCACAGAGCTGAGTGGGTAAGTTGGACCAAGGCCTTCTCTGCAGATCTGACCATCCATCTCTCATCTCTCCCTCTTACTCCCTGTCTGCACAGGGAGAACTGAATGTCCTGCTTTTAAGATTTAGATTTAAATAGTAGAAAAGAAATGGATGGCTCTAGCCCAAGCAGTCCATTCTAAACCATGAAATATTTCAGTGGGTTATTGGATCAGTGATGTGATATTTTGATTCGTCTTCTGCTATTATTCTTTATATGGCAACTTCTCTTCTCCATGGGGAAGATGGGTAAGCGGCAAGG